GGGCTGCCGTGGAAGAAGGGAGGGGACAGGGGCTCAGGGCAGGTGTGAGCAGGTGCGACCGCTTCCACTGCGGATGCCTTCGATGATCACGGCAAGGCAGAGGAAAGGGGGAGGGAGTAAGATGCTCTGGGTAGCAAACTGATCTCCCAGCTCCTGGCAGATGTGCGGAGGTCATATTACAAACCCTCCAGGGGGGGATGCATGCAGAATAGTTTGGGAACAGATTGGTTTGTAAACAGTTCTCAAACCTGGCCGCACTTGGGGCAAACAAGGGCATACTTGTAAAATGCACCTTTGTGTGGATTCTAGCAAAAGGAGGATGCCTGGATCTCTGAATGGGGAAGGAAACCATCTTGAAGAGAAGAAACTACGGGGCTATGTTATTCCCATAGTCTCTGAGAAATGCGTGGAACTCCCAGGTTTCAAATATACCTGATGGTATTTAATTGTGGCAGATCAAGAAATTCTTGAGTGCTTCAGAGCAAATGGATGGGACAAAATCATCACTGTTTTGAAAGGAAAATTAGACTGCAGGCACTCATAGTCAGTGTGATGCTTGTGTTTATTTTGCTGGTTTCCAGGGTAGTGCAAGTGCTCTTTGCACTGCAGCAGTGTCTGCTGATGTTTACTCCATCTCTTCTTATGGCTTACAAAGAGATTCAGGATTCTATCAAATTAATTGCTATTATCTGCCCACTGAGAACAGTGAGGCTGGACGTGAGGCATTGTCATTCAAGGTTTATGGACAAGAATTCTCATATATATTGATGGGGCTGTACAGCAGGAGGAAATCCTTTCCCTGACAGGTTTGCAGAATGCTGAGTTTCATTTTAATACTTAAGTATTCTACGCAATTCTCTTCTTTAGGCCTTATTAAAAACGAGATTAATATCTCCTCTTCTGGGATTATAGAAGGTATGAGTAGCATTATCTATCTCTAGTCTAGATGTATGTAAGCACACCTTGGAAATGCTCAGTAAAGATTTCCACTGATGTTTACTAAACTCCTTTACTCAAACAGATTAATGTTTTCCATGGATTTGCCTGTGAATTCTCTTTTGGATTTTCTCAAATAATTTATTACAATAACATCTCAATCTAGAACATAATAAACCCCCAGAGAGAGCTTGTCTTTTATATTTACACAGTCATCCTTGTTCCCAAACTAGTTCCCTTGAAATTATGGCATCACCTGTGGGGAAATAAATGTCACAAGCAAGTGAGATGACCTGTTGTAAAAGGGTGTGTTGACCACTAGGTCAGCAAAGAACTGAATTGGTGATGAGAGAATGCCAAATCCTAAGGGCAAGCTCATGTTTAATTCCTGCTGATGATCCATCAGACTTTAATATGAGTTTAATGACAGAAAAATAGGTAGTTGATGTTGGCTGCTAGCAGATAGCCAAAATTCCCAAATATATTAAATTTTGTGCATGTTTTTAGTAAGCTTATCATCCTCATGCAAACCTTATAATTATTTCATTCACATGTGATAAATAAGTAGTTCATGACTCAGGCTGAAAAATCTGTGAAAGATCAAAGGTAACTTGGAAGTTTCCTTCACCTGAAAAACACAGTAGTGAATTTGGAAACTGGATGGTTTTTTAAATCTAGATAAATAATAATGAATTAATTCTGCTGTCATTTCCTCTCTGTGATGTGATTTGACTGGCAGTGGCCTTCATGCTTGGTTTTGAAGTCATTATGACCATATTGGCTCCTGCAGCTCTCCAGGAAAACTTAGTTCAATAAAGTTGAATAGATGCCAATATGGGCCTGTTCCAAAGCCCACTGAAATCAATTGGAATATTTCTGCAGACTGAGGTGGTGTTTGGATCAGGCAGAATTTGGCATAGTCTGTTTGATCCCCAGGGAAATGGTTTCATATAGTAGGGTGTATTTGAGACAGAAGCAGAACATCACTCTGCTGTGTACATTGTTGGGTCATTCAAAACAGATGAAAATTTTGGCTGCAGCACCCATTTTTTTATTGTAGGTGTTTCCATTCAAAGCTCCTGTAGCTCACTAAAATGAAGGGGTTTGATATTTACCGCCCTTATTTGAATTCCATTCCTATTTATACAGTTGACTAAACTTCTTAAACTTAATCTTGGCAATTTTAAGCTGTACTGGAGTCATTGGACTGACTGCTCATGTATGGAAGTTAAAATGACTGCAAAGTGGATTCAGGCAGGTCTCTGAAGCAGGTTTATGTAGGTCAGTTGTGAGGATTTTGCTATCTCAGATTTTCGGCTGGGACTTCTGGCAGCTTAGAAGCACTCAATATATAAGTTACAAGCTGGACACCAAAGTTTCTTCAGGCCAGATTTACATAGAAACACCTTTTTAGCTCGGTAAACAGAGCTTCTTAGTTCAGAGGTTAAGGAAGTCACCATTGAAAAGCCACTGGTGAATTGCTGAGAGTGTGGCTATACTCAGTGGTAATATTGCCACATCATTTCTAGCGTTCCTGTTCCACATTTTGTTACTGCCATGATTGTATTTGGTGATGTCTTCAGTGCTTATAAATAATGCTGATCTCACTAGGAAAACTGATAAAAAATTTAACATATCATTATAAAAATACAGCCCCCTAAGAACCCATCTGTTCAGTAAGCATTAAAGTAATTATTTTCTTGTATTGATAGTCCTTATCAAAACTGAGATGGAATTTCCATTTTGCTGGCAGAGATAATGATGCAATTTATTTTAAATTAAAAGCACCCCCAACAAAGGAAGAAGGTAGATGATTGACACTTAACTATGAGGTCAATCAATGTGTTTTTCCTTTGAGTCAGTCTATTCATTATCATAAAGACTCATTTTCAGTCCAACTCCCCTTTTTCATGTCTGAACTCCAGCAAACAGTGCTAAGACATCAAGTATTTGTGAAATGACATTCTTCAAATTCAAAAAGCCATATGTAAAATGCCGTGATTTAGTTTTTCTGTGAGAAGTCAGTCACAAAAGTGTTTAAAATGTCATATGATCCTGCAGTTCCTCAACAAACCCAGCAGGTTTCTTAGGATTCTTTTCAGTGTAGCACCCACAGATTTGGGGTTTTGTCAGTAGGCACATATAGTGGGAAAACTAATTTTTTTTTTGCTAGTGTCAAAGTCACCAGATGAAATTGACTTCAGGTGGTACAGTGGGTACAGTCATTGTAGTATTCATATTTCATATCACATTTCATATTTCCCACAGCTGGGGAGTAGATTAGGAAAGTTGCCTGTTAAAAATAATTAAAAAGATGAAAAAATAGGGTTTGGGGATTGAGTTGTTTTTTGTACTAACTGACTTCTTCCTTTCTGTTTCTCTGCCTTCCTCCTTATCTCTTGCAAGCTTGAATTAATTAAAAGATCAAAAGCAATATGTATTTTCTGATATTGAGAATTCTTTGTCATCTCACTATAAAAGTAAAGAACACACATCTTGAAACATTTTCTGAAATGGATCTCACTGGTTCCACATTACAGACTTTGACAGCCAATTGTCACCTGGTGCCTGTTTAATATTTCTTAGAAATGGTGATTGCAAAATCATAGTAATATTCTGGATGTGTGAGTCAAGGTAGCTATGCTGGAAATTTTAAGTAGATGCTGCTTTGAGGTGGATTGAGTTGAATAATTACGTTCCACTAGAACATGAGATATGAGGTATTTTGCCACTTTTCCCATTGTGCTAAGATTTGCCATCAGGATGTTTGTCAGGAAAAAGGTAAACTCTGAGCACACATTGATTCCTGTGTGACTGCCCAGGGTGAGGTGCATGAACTCATTAGAAGTTGCTCTCTCCTGAGCTTTGTTCTAGAACCTAAAGGAGGAACATTTAGGAAAAAAAGTCACATTCCTTGGCTTCTCTCTGTGTGGAGGGTTTGGTTTGTGCCTGTGTGGAAAATGAGACGCAATCTTGTTGAAATTGTTGCCTGTTTCTTGTTGCTATTTTTCTGTCTTAATGCATTTTGGTTTTTTCTGGCAAATACATTGTCTTTTTCTGCAGTTATGAATAGCAATTAAGAAGGAAGAGAAGCATGCTTAGTAGCTAGCATCCTTCTTGTCTCTCTAGATTTTTTAACATTTTGTAGTCAAGGTTGTCTTTAAACAGATTTTTATTCTGTAAGAAAATACCTTACATCTCCAGTATAATTTTTTTAAGCAAAATCAGTTGAGTACTGCAAAACCAGGGATTAACATGCTCAACATTAAATGTTGTTCCATGCAACTTCTCACATGTTGCAAATGTCTGTAAAGCAGCAAATATGGGCCTGAGCTCCTCCCCATTAAAGTGAGTGGGAGACTCACCCTTTGATTTTTGGCACATCTCCATTGAAATTAAGTCTCAATTCGGCTGGATAATTTTCATCACAAAAGCAATTGAGCAAATGGAATTATTAATGTGCTTAAAAGAGACCATGCACTCAGGTTTTGGGGGTTTATTTCAGTCCTGGAGAGGTGCAGTGTCTCATATGGCACAACTGCAGTTTATAGGCAATAACTGGAATAGCTGCAGCTGGCACTTCCACAGCTCCTGTGTGAACTGAACTTTTGTGTTCATTTGCAGAAGAAAACATCTCCCTCCTAACTCCTTCCTCTAAATCTTCCAGGTTCTGGGATGAATTGCTTGTGCTGATACCTGCTTCTAAATCGGCTTCATCTCCCTCACTTTTCCTCTGTAAAATGCTGCTACTCCTCACAAAGATGTAAAAAACCAGCAGATAATGCTCGCAGTAAGCTCTGGTGATAAATACCGTGTGAGTCCTAAGAAAAGCTGTTATTTGAAGGAAGTCCATGATGACGGCTCTGCAGGTGCTGCCAGTGGATTTATGGGACATGTGAAACTTATGCTTTGTATTTTTCTAGAAGGAGACTGGAGGAATTGACATCTATCACAATTCAAAAGGATGAGAACAAGCCCACAAAAAGAAAAGAAGACTCTTCTGACTTTTAGAAATCTTTATAAACATCATTTAATGTCATTTTCAAATACCTTGAAGGGATCGTAAAACTTTGCTCTTCTCTGATCATTGTACCACTTAGAAGTGGAAAGGTATGAACAGCCATAACCCTGGCACATTTTTAACAATTCTCAGGACCAAAGGGGATTGTAAGATGGAAGCTTTGATAACAAAAACATAAAGATGTCATTGTCAACTATCTCAAAATATACATGCTTGTTGTAAATGTCACATAAGCCCACAGCTAAGTGATGAATCAGAATTTCCTGTGTTTTCAAAGTGCTTCGTTTGATAAAGACTTTTAACTCCTTCATGAACAAGTTATTTCGTGCCCCACAATTTGCTTTCTGTCCTTTTACTGTTAATCACTGAAACAAAAATACCTCATGCAACATGAGTTAGCTGGATATACAGGGTAGAATTTCAGTTATAATCTGCATCAAGGAAAAAAAATACTTGGAAAATGTTTGGAACTAACATGCATAACATTGTAAATCAATTTATTAGCAATAATATGATTTTTTTCCTCTTCATTAAAATAATAGAAGTGATAAACTAAACTAAATGTTGGAGATATATGGACTAATTTGGCCCCAGTAGAAGTCTTCATTCAGTGAAATACTTTAGCATTTGATTAGGATTAAGTATTTGATTGTGTCTTGTATCAGTTTAGAACACCCTGCTGAGAGGAAAAGAGATGAAAATTACACGATTGAGAACGCCAGGTATGTCAAGACAGATTTTGACCCCTTGGTGGGGTCACTCGTGGAGACAGGATGGTCGTGATTGCAGCCAGGCCATTTCTGGAGAGCTGGAGGTCCCAAGGTTGGGATGCCTGAGGGTTTCTCTCTTCTGGCACTGCCAATCCCTGCCACACATGGCTAATCCCTCACTGTGCCACAGGGAGAACGTCCTGCCTGGTTTTATCTAAAGGAGGTAAATCCCATCGGCCAGAGAGGAGAGAGGCAGTATTTCTGAGTTTTTAAAATGCTCTATCCACACTATCTATGAACTTTGTTATTACTTCTTCATGTCAGTCATCTCTTATACACTCACCTTTACCAAAACCAAGAGCCACCAATCTGTTCTTCTTGTATGGTTTGCTCACATAAATTTGCGTAGGTTTTTCTGCAAAGTTGTTGGATTTTTATTTGGGGTTAGAGATGTTTGTACTATTTCAGTGCCCTGCTATTAAATAGAATCATAATAATAATTTTTCAGTTGAGCTGCAGGTGCAGAATACAGGAACCATCTTTTGCCAAATATTACTAAGTGCATTAGATATTCATCACTTATTAAAATCTGTAATCCTAGTAAATAAAAGACAATTTTAAAATTGCAGGCTGGTGGGTATCGTAACTCAACTATTAAAAACCTGTTTGTCAAGTTGTAAGTCATTAATAATTAGTATTACAAATGCTATTATGCCTTTGATTGGGGAGAAATGGACTGAAGCTAGGATTACATTATTCAATTAGATTTAATTCCATTTGGTATGAGTTTTACTTTATGTGAAGTTCAGCCTGTAAAAGGATCATGGTAGCAACCATCCAAAATGTTAATTTGTGTATAGAGCAAATAGGATGCATAATAACTTCATCATGTATTACAGCTCTGTTGACTGACAGTGTAAGTGCTACTAGACTCACTATGGTTAATTAGATTTCTTTATGCACTGTACAGTAGCATTACACACAATCATTTATAAATGGGTTTATTAAAATTTCTATATTCATATAGTGAAAGCACGTTTAAATCTTTTCCCTCTTTTGTACAAAAAAATGTAAAGTGCCACTAGAAAAAGTAAAATAAAGTGAAATTCTAAGTCACATCAGTCTGTGAGTTAGCACAGATCAAGTCAAAAGAACTCAGGTATAAGTGGCCTGCTAACTGGTGAAAAGGTTACTAAAGGCCTTGTATTTTCCAGGATTTTATCTTCTGCCAGCTGACTAGAATTACATACATTCCCAATTTATAAACATTAGTCGTATCTATATGAGCATCTGGAAGTTCAATATTTCTTTCCCAATTTGTTGTATTTTCCACCACATTTCATTCAATCTGTTAGCACTGCAATAAATCCATCTTTGCATTTATTTCCCAGTCTTTATCATCTGTTTCTCCCTTGGTCCTCATTAATAATTTCTTGGTATTATGGTCGTGATATTGTGTGGATTTCTTCCTCTCCTCCTAAAGCACTACTTGCCACCATGAAGGAAACAGCTTCGTTATGTGTATTTCTGTGGCAGTATAGCTCTGTGAAACACCAAAAAGAATATATTCTGTATTTCTGGCATGTTACACAGAAATCATCCATTTTAGAACCTCCACCTCTGGACAAGTCACTTCATCAATATCAATGTCAATGCAAAAGTAGAAGTCGAGATTAGGAAGGATATCTTTAAGATGTCAGGCAGAGAGTTCTCCTTGAAAATTCTGCCTGCAGCTGCTGTCCTGTCTGAGCTGAACAGTTCAGACACATAAAACAAACAGGAATTGACCAACAACTTTAAGTTACACCCATTTGTTTCAGTTGTTTTCCCCTGTGCAAGGCATTCTTACATAAACTTACTGGTTACTTTCCCCCAGAGATCCAGGAGCAAGTGGAGCGCTTCATGATTTATAGATGTAGTTGGGAATTACTTTGAAATTACAGTATTGTGGGGAAGGCTCTGTAACAATTTAACTGAGCTCTGGTGACAGGAATTGGTAAAGGGGACAACTGGAAGAACAGGGCAAGGAGGCAGGTCTTGTTATTCCAGCCATATGTATTAATAGTGCTCCAGTAAGTGCAACATGTCTATATTTAGTCTATTTGGAGACAAAAAAAAGGCAGTAGAGGATTTAGTAACCATAAGAGCAACCGTTTTCAGTGTGATTCATGCATCCAAATCCTCTGGTTCTTGTTCAACACTCCTGTCTTCTTTTTGTCTCTATTAAATGTGTCATGCATGGTCCAGCAAACAGTGAACTCATCCTATTAGACAGCCTTCTGGAAGGCAATTGGTAACATATTTTTGTTGCTAAATTAGTTATAAAGAGTTCAAACATGTACCAGATCTTTTGATCTGACTCCTGTCTTGTGCTGGCTGATCACGGCCACAGCAGTACAGCACAGGAGAGCACCTGGACTAGGAACATGTTCAGGATGAGATAATTCCTAAGTGCAAAAGGACATTCTGGAATTAACATGATAATTCCTTGCGAATTCCTATCAGTTCTTATCAGCTGAAGAAGGAATGACTGAGAGCTCAAACCTGTTGAAATATCTCCACTCAAGGCCATTGGTCCTGATTTTTGTGCACTGAGAATGTCTAGATGTGGGAACATGAAATGTGCATGGAAGAGTGTATTTTTTATTGTCTGCCTAAGATATACTTATAAAATATATGTACTGTGTATAGAACTTATGTTTGCTTTAACAGAGATAAATCTGGATTTTTTTTAATTATTCTTCTTTTTGTTTAGTAGCTCCTCACCACTTTACCTCCTAAAACCCCAAGGACAGTTGGAGCTTTACCGAGATGGTTGCCTAGAATGTGTCCCTTGGTATCTCAGTCCCTTGGTATGATTAGCTACACCCTGTCCCAGCATATCTATATTTTATCTTACAGTTTTAGGGAACTTTCCAAAATGCAATATGGTGGAAAAAATGCCAAAAGAAGTCCAGAAATTTTCCTATTAAGTACAATGATGATCCCTGTAATTGGTTATGGTAGAAAGATTATTAAAAGGGAGAAAATAACTTTTTTCCTTTATTTTACTAGCTACTAGACCTGGGGAAAAAAAAAGATCAGAGAATATTGCCGGAAAGAAGAATCAAATTGGCTCAAAAGTTTGAGATGTCACAGGACCTGAATTAAGAAATCTCCACCATGCTGTGAATGTGGAGCTGCTGTTGATGAGTGAAATGCTGATTGCAGACCTGGAGTCAGAGCAGAACTGCAAATATATCTGAAAAAATGAAAACGGCCCAAGTTCAAAACACATGGGCTTTCATTCCCCTGTCACTCAGGATGTGACCTGAACTAAAAGCTTACTCTTCGCCTGTAGCGTTCTGATATTTCATTAAACATGCAGTACTTCAGGAATACTCACTATAGTATCAAGCAATACCATGCAAAAGCACAAGAGAGGACTGAAATATATAGACAGAATTGAAGATAAAACACAACCATATTAAAGTCACTGTATAAAAAAATAAGTAGGCCTGATTAACTTCTGTATCAGAGGTTCTTTATCCACTTTGTTGGAATTATAGGGCCATGAAGTGTGCATATCTGTAATTACTCCTGCTGCAGAGGTCCTCTGAGCTGACAGATTGGTGCATTAAATGGAGCATTGTATAAATGGGAATTGAGTTCAGTGTGGTGCAGATTGCATGTTCCTCTGAATTTCCAATACATTCTAAAATTAAAAGCAGGGAAAGTAGCAAGGATATCTCCCTCCCTCTGTGGGAAATACATGTAGTTCAGAGTCAACATTTTGTGTATAGGGGAATTTCACAGGACTTCATTTTTTTCCTTTTCCCTTTCCCCCGGTTTTGTTATCCACAGAAGAGTGTTGGAAATGCTGCCAAGTTGTTCTGTTGAAATTTTGCACCACTTTTTGTTCAGCTATGACTGCGAGTGAGAGTCAGACTGTGCTGTCCTACCTGGTGTAGAACAATTCAGGGGAATGTCCCAAGATGCTGGAGGGAGCTGAGCAAAGAAAGGATCAACACGGTCCCCAAAAACGTGTTAAGCCTTCTTGTCTGGCATAGGGTCTACAGCTGCCATTCCAAGTGATTAATCCAGCAATTATGCTGAGACCAAAGGAGGTTTAATGAGAGATTCCCTCTGCCATTCCTCTCCAGACTGCAGGGCTGGCATGCTGGGGCAGTTCTTAGGTATCAGAAGACATGAAATACCATGTGGAGTGTGTTCTCTACTTACATAATAAATAGCTAGCCGAGAAACATCCTTTTAAAATGGTGAGATTTCTCTAGGGGAAGGATGAGGTCAGATAAGCTGGGGCTGTAATGTAAGTTTCTAACAAGAAAATTGAAAAGCAGGTGAGGGAAACTGCCTTTCAAGATTTCCTTTATTATTTCCCTTTCTTCCTGGAATTTCATATCAGTACAAGACCCACACAACACTTCAACAGTCTTGCAGGTCTGCTACAATGCAAAATGTACTGCTCTGCTCAGGTGGATTGTACTCAGTGTATCTCTATAGGTTAATGAAATCTAATCCTCCACTCTTGATAAAATCCATTTAGCAGTGACCAGATGCTTCCTTTGGAATCCCAGCTCCCCTTTGCTCCTATCTGTCAGTCAGGAAAGTTTCTCAGGGAAGATTTCCTCTTTATCCTGTTGGCTTTTGCAGCCCTGCTGCTTTTGGATCACTCTGAAAAAGAATTGCTGCAAAATGCAATAAAAAGGATTATATCTGGAACCTGATTGTCTACGTCTTTTGGATTGCTTCATTCTGCGAGCAGGCTCCCTAGAGTGTGTTTGATAATTTTAAACACGATTACCAACTGTATATGATGTTGTTGGGAAATATTTCCTGAAGCTCTCATATCAGTACTATCTTTTCAGTCTAAATATGTGAATGGCTGCTCTGGAGTTTTTAACAGCAAATTTCACTACATAAATTATTGTGGTAACAACATATCAGGGTATTTGGGCAGACTTCTGGCAAAATACAAACTTAAATGAGAAGAATTAACTCGCTGTGATTGGTGTTTATGGAATTTTAGGTTGTGAAATGACTGTGGAGCCAAGATGCACCCACCAAAAAGCTGATGCTGCAAAGCACTTGATCATGATATTCTTTGCTGAATTACAGCCTGCGGCTAAAGAAGTTTTAAATTGAAACTTCACCTTGACTGCCAGATATAAATTGGTAATTTACATAGAGAAACCTTTATTATTATGTTTTCATTCAAAAAAATGTTATGGAATTAGTCAAGAATAATAATAGTGCCATAACAGACAGTCCTAGAAGATTATCCTTGATTAGAAATGTCCTCCAAGGCAAAGCTTTTGTTATAAGCCTAATTTTAAAAATGGAGGCTTTGTGCTACTGAGAAATGTAACAAGGAAAGTAGAGCTGAATCACATCCTGCAAAGCAGTCTGAGATATGTGCAGTCTCCAGCCCTGGCTAGTTAGAAATGCATCACACAATGGTGCTGTCTCAAAAGGCTCCTCTGCAAACCAGAGACAGTGCGAGCACGAATGGATGCTGGAGAGCACTTCAGTGGGGAGGAAAGGGGAAAAAAAAAGGATAAAGAAAATCCAGTCCCTGTTTCTCCTTCTGCTGGAAAAATAGTGATGCTGTGATCCCTGACCTTTTATTAACAAGGCAGTCCCTTGCAGAGGACAGTGATTCATTGCAGGGCACCTTATCTGCATGTGAGCAGGCTCACCCCAAGGCATTCCTTTGTCATCTGCTGGAACAGAAGATGACAGTAGATTCCCTGCACCAGTTATAGAGTGCTACTTTATCCTATCTGCAATATGAAAAGCCCTTTAATGAGATTTAGAAAATAATGGATAAAGCTTAGTTTGACTTTTGTAATAAAGCATACATTGACATCTCTAACTAATGTGCATTGTTGCAGTGTAAGCCTATAGAGAAGAAAGGGTGCATTATTTGAATTATGAATTGATGAAAGGAATATGAGCCTGTATTTGAAGGTAATACAAAGAAAGAAATTTTCCATAGGAGTAAAAAAGAATAAAAATGTCTTTCTTGATCTTGTCAATTGCCAATCAAACTGGGGAAAAAGTCCTGCTTTAAATCAAACGTTGGACAGTCAATGAGAGGTAAGAATATTCTTTATAAGGAGTGGGTAAATGGTTCCACTCTGATTACTCTTTCAGACAAAGTTTGGTGTGCCATTAATAACTATGTTTTTTGAATTGTCTCAATGGGAAGTAATCAGGCAGCTAAGAGACCATTTTTTAAAAAAACCTTCTCAGGAAATGCTCAGTATCAATATACAGTCCTTTCAGATATAACCAAAATAAATTATATACTGTGTCTGAGTGGTTACAATTTGAAGGGGAGCTTTTAATCTCGTAAATATAAGGTTGCTTTCTTTTATTTTTATGACATCTGGAGT